GCTGAGGCAGGAGGATCGCTTGAGGCCAGGAGTTTGAGACCAGGTTGAACAAAGTAGTGAGGCCCTGTCTTGACAAAAAAAAAATTTTAATTAGCCAGGGATGGTGGCGTGTGCCTGTGGTCCCAGCTATTGACTCAGTATCTCTAGTGGTGATGTCAATAAATCTGTATTTCTTCTGTATGCAAAAATTTTAGCAGCACTGTGCTGCAAGTTTGCTTCCCAAGTCTCATTCTGTGTTAGCCCTGGAAGTGCCCAAGCTTTAGGACAGAGATGCCAGGAACTAAACCCTTATCACTTATTTGGTACTGGGGCCTGATGCTCTGGCCCATGCCACTTCTCTGTCACTTTCTGTAACCACCCAACAACTGATAAAGAAGGTTCTCGAGCTCTTTAGGAGACAGCCTTACATTCTACATGTGAAGACAGTGATCAGAAGGGATGACAAGTCATGTCTATTTTTGGCATATAAAGAAGAATAAATTGCAATTGTGAAAATACCTCTATGTTAAGTCTTCCAGTAACACTTTTACTACAAAATAGGAAAGAGAGAAGCTTACTATGGACACAGAACTCAATGCCTCTGGATTTCAAGGGAAAATAAAGGAGCTTTAAAAAGTAGATGCAGCCAAGGGCAAGTGGTCGAATCTCTTGCCTAAAGGGAAGAATGTTTGTGTCCACTTTGAAATGAGTGAAAATATACAACCTGTTGTGTTGCCGGATGCTTTGACCTAATATATCCCAGGTACTATGCTTTTAATTTGTTGGTTACTCGAAGAGCAACTCATAGGGTGATCTGGGAAAATTCCAGGAAGGTGATTTTTGCCATTGCTCTTAGTGGCAAAAACAGCAATTACTTTTGTACCAACGTAAAATTAATAGTTATTCCTAAATATCTCTCTCATCAAAATGCCTGAAATACATTGCTTATGACTAAATATTTCATCCAGGCATCTTTCTTAGCAGATCTGGGGAAATATGGCCTATTGACACGAAAATCTCATTGTGAGATGGGACTCTGGGGAACTGGAGCATGTAGGGATGTTAGGGTGGAGATTGGAAAGTGGGGGTGGACTTTGCAGAAAGGAAAAGAATGACTTTCTTAAAGTTTACCTTGTGTGACTCCATCACTCTCCCTAACACTTTGTGAAGCTCCAGCTAACCAGCTTAGAGCCAACTTTAAGAGCTGCCAGCCCTGCTTTCATCAAATGCCCCTGGTCAGAGAACCCTGAGCAGAGACATAACTGGTCCCTTTGACTTTGGTCTGTGATTGAGGAAAGGACAATTTCTTTTACCATGGGCCATTGCTGCCAACCAGCTATGGGCAGTGCTAGATCTTCCTCTCCTCAAGACCCTGACATGTATGCCTCCTTCAGTTTCTTATCCTTTTCCGAATTTATTCTCCATCACCTACCATCCACATCCATAATTGTACTGAAATCCCTTCTAACATGAAATATAGCTGAGTGTGCATACCTTGTTTTCTGTTAGCTCCTTAAACATGAATTAATAATTCAGCAGATACTAACTGATGGTCAATTGAGAGCAAAAAGGAGACAATTTGGGGAGATTGTGATACAACGATGCCAAAATATTTTGCTCATGGAGGAGGACTTTGTAGAGATGTACAAGGGACAATAAAAAATAAAGTGAAAAAAATAAAACTTGCCAAGATGAATACCAAGTTGTTCTTGTATGTAAAATATGGGTAGAAGAGTAGTGTTGTAAGAGGCCCCAGAATTTGTAAATGGGAATAATTTAAGGCATTGGGTTTTTTTTTTTAAGTTGCTATTCAATAGGATTCAGATATTTAGATGCATTTTCTATAGCTTCAGTGTATGTGTATATTTATTACATGTATCTATTTAATTTATTAGATATAGCAGAGAATAAAAATGGAGGAATTTCTGAAGGAACTGGATTGTAAACCAACCTTTCGAAGAGGCAGGTATTAAAAGAGAAAATTGCCATTTAGAGGGGATGGCATAAGCTCAGGGAGGGGGAAGCCACACACGAGAGGCTACAGGCTACTTGACAAAGGCAGAGTGGCCAAAGGGGTGAGGATGGGGGCATGGAGCAGCTGAAGAAGCAATCTGTAGGGGCAGCCTTGGTGTGGATCTGGAGGGTTCCCAGTAAGCTCCTGGGCAGGATGACTTCATATGAAGACTGTGAAAGTGGCGCTGGACAGACAGCTGGGTCAGGGCTCTCGAGAAAGATAGGGGACTGGAGGGAAATACAGTGTCTGGTTGATCTCCAGCCATAGACAGGTGAGTCAGAGAAAGTAGGCAGAAATAATGTCTCCACCTCTTTCAGGGTGTGTGTGGAGGGTCTGCTCTCATTTCCCTCAAATAGGCAATTTCTGGGATAAACATGAAGAGACTCGGAGGGATGGTCCCCTCTGGGTCAGGCTGCAGAGTGGGTCAGGTGGTCCTTTCAGATGGCCCTCGCCCCTCCCCGCAGAAGGTGTTCAGTCTCCCTTCTGTGCATCTTTCTTTGAGATGAACCATTAGGAAACCCATCATGTCCAGGGAGCTGAAAGTCTTTTGCCTGGTGGTGGAACAAGAACACATACATTCTGGCTGATGTCTGGCTCCATTTTTGGAACCCATTAACAATTACTCCTTTAAAATTCTAGATTGAAATGGAGAACTGAAATATGAAAGTGGCTCTTCAAATGAGTGGGGCAATGTGTTTTAAGCATTTGATCTCAAAAGATTCCACTCACCTCTTCCAATTATTTTAGAGGCTGGCTTTCTCTGAGAATAGAGAAGCAAAGAGAGGGAATTAATTTTAATCTAATGTACTCTTAGTCAGTTTAGGGGGCTAAGGCCACAACTGGTGTTTGAAGGGAAAAAATATAGAGCCCCAAGTGGAGCCAGGAAAACTTCCATTTTCTTCTCAGCCTTAACACCCTCAGGAAATGATTGAAGCCTGGGAAATTATGAATATCAGAGTAATTGAACAGGAAAACCAACGAACAGCTGCAATTTTCAGCCATGGATTTTTTTTTTAATTTAAGTGACAGGAAACCTTTTTTTGCCTTGGATTTTCCAAATTGATTTCAAGAGTATATTATGCTAATATATAGTAATTTTACAGAACAAAAAACGGCTTTCTACTTGGACTTTTAGGCATAAGAGTTGCATCATGATTGTTATACTTATTCATTCTCTCACGAAAGAAAAGAAGATTGAACATTAAAAGCTGAAGGTCATCCATACAGTTGTCCCAATAGCAATCTGTGTACCTTTAACCCTGAGGAGGAAAAGTAATTACCCTTTGGCTTCTGGTGACCTCAACTAACCTTTGTTGAAGGGCCAGAGAAAATAAAAGCTGACCATCAGCCTGCCCTGGCTGCCCTGGGCTTAACCTGCTGTGTGAATGAAGAACAACCCAACAATAGGATGAGAGGATGTTGCCATGGAAATAGCCCTGGACGAAGGAGCAAAAATCAGAAATTTATCACAATTAATTGTTCTATTAAGAACCTCCCATCTTTTGGATTATTCCCTGGGGGTAGGGAGGGAAGTTGTGTTCTCATTTAGATCTTATGGGAGAAAATTCTGCTTGCATAAATGAGGCAGCCCATATAGTAAAACCATTCTAAGTAGTGGCGAGAATTGGACAGCTTTGTGAGAGACGGAGGGATCTATATCTCCTTATAATCTATAAAGATGCAAATGCAAACATCCAGGATGAGGGCCAAAGAACCTCACGCTATCAGGAGACCCAGCTAAAGTGTGGGTCTGGTCATATATCTTTTTAATATTTTCAGTAGACTGTTGCCTGTGCTTTCATGCCTTGGCAAGGTCTGCAAAATACAGGTAATGATATTTTAACAATGCAGAAATGTGTTGTCATATTTTATACTCCTTATTTAGCCTTTCTGTTAAACAGAATCCAAATTCTATGTATTTTTAACATGAGCTTGTTTAGATTAGAAAATAGAAGCTTGCTATCCAATTATGTTCAGATTAAACTAGACTAATCCATGATGCTGTGGGTGCTACAGACTAATTGCAGAAAAAAGACATAGAGTGAGAAATAGTTCTTTTATGGAAACCTACAATTATCTCTTAGGTAGAAGCGGACATATTTAAAAGTAATAATATTTTATGTTTAACATGGGAATGTTTTCATTTTTACTCATTATACAAAGATGAAGTTAGTCTTTAAAAATGTGAATTTTTTGATCAGTTCTTTCACTTATTTGTATTAAGTGGATTAATTAATTATTGAGCAAAGAACTGTATGTCAACCATTTTTTGCTTGCCAGAATAGCAATATGAAACACTATTTGCTATATTTCCTAAATAGCAAGTTACTTATGTTAATCAGTTTTTAAAATAATTTGTGGTGCTAAAACAAAGCAGGTGGTTAAACTCAGACATTGATTTTCTCTTTAATGGGTATTTCATCAGTGAAATTTTAACCACTGATGAAGGAGAGTATAAAACCATAGTAGGCGTTCACTGAAGACCCTTGCTTACAATGCGAAGATATGTTTCTCTGTCATAGCGTAAGTGCCAACGTGAGTTTCATCCATAAACTAATGAACCTATGAATTTTAACTCCAGATGTTGACGGAAATGAATGTCATACTAGGGAGCATTGTCAGCTTTCATTAGAACTCGGGAAGTTTACATTTAGTAGAAATAAACTTTTTAAACAGAAGGGACATGTGTTGGAATTCTGTTAACTAACAATGAAATCCAGCTCTTGGGCTTCTTATTTACCCATCTGGTCCCTGCCATTAGTTTATCACTCATTTGGTGTGATTCTGGTATTGTTAGGGCAAGAATTCTGTTTGCTAACCCCCTATGTACCTGTGGTTGGAAGGCCTATCTCAAATAATATAATAGACTTGGCTAGACTCATTGAACACTCTCTGTGGCCTTTGGCAGGCTTTTAAGCTTTTTTTCTGCTATAGATAACGGTTTTTCTTAGGTGGCAGTGACATATCTCTAAAAATACATCTACAATAAGGTCCTAGTTGTACTTACCTTATAGGTCAGCAGCACCTTGCTGGTGGTGAATATGCTTCTTGATTTCCATTTACTTTAGTTTGCTGGTAAGCACATGCCTGCTTGTAGGCTGTTAAGAGCATTCTTTCTGGCTGAGGCATTTGCAGAATTGGGCTTCGTCTTTACAGTTCTCACTTTATTTGGACCCTCTCCTGGTGTTCTCTGTTTATTAACCCTCACCTGGATGGCTTGGCTGAGGCAATGGAACCAAAAGTAGAGATGGTAACGGGTTTCTGTTGTTTTACCTGTTTGGGCCAATAGAAGAATGAAAGGGAGAATGGTGATCAAGATCAAAATGTAAAAAACAGTTCTAATCTTTCCTTATGTAGAGAGAGGCAGCAGATATCTACCCGGTCTCCCCCATTTAAAACAATTATGCATAATTTTTATTGATTTAGATAATCAGTTATGTATTATAATTATGGAAAGATATTTCATTATGTACAGTTTACTTACGGACTACATTTTTATTGTTCTCAATTTTGTTCAGAGGAAAAAAATTATATATATTTATGAAGTTTACATAGAAATCTTCCCCAAATTACTTTGTAAGGAATAGGATAGATCAAATCTCTCAATGACTAGATATTTAAGTGCAGACATGAGAGTATTTACTGATTTATAACTAATAAAACTTCAACCTAACTGCTCTTCAATGACATCTATAAAATGATATTAAAGTGTGATGAGTAACTTAAAAGACAAGGACTACTGAGAATATATTTTTCTAGCTAGTTGCATTTTATTTTTAATCTTTTATTCTATGTGTGCAAACTTAACTACAAAATAAATCTACAAACTCTGCAGTGTAAATGAGGAACTAAATACAGTATGTCAGAATCACAAAAATAATTATGACATAAATGAAAGCAAAAATTAGTTGATAAATATATGTGTGGAAAAATGCCAATAATTGCCATCCAGTACACTCTGAATGTACATATTTAAAAACCAATATGGAATTTGGTTAAGAGAGTTGAAGATAATTTTTATAGGGTTAACATTACATGCTTTAAAACTGCATGTTATTTTGTCAACAGAGTTTAATATAATTTATATAAGGTAAACATACAAATTTTAAAAATTACATGGCATTTTATTAAGAAAGTTTATGATAATATCGGGTTGAACAGACACTTTCAAATGAAGGGGGAAAAACTATTTTAACACTTTATGAGTGTTAACACTACCAGCTCCAAATTAAACAAACATTAACGACATGGCATTATTCTGACATACTCAGTATTTAAAATATCTTTCCATGTATGACATGTGGTGTAATGAATCATATGTAGAATATAGGATATTTTAGCGGAATATCAAACTGTGGTGTTAATACTGTGTCTGGGTTAAAGGATGTGAAAACATCATAAAAATTATATGGCATCAGTGTTTTTCATAAAAGGATATAATTCAGTCTTCAACAGACTGATGGAAATGAAACACTGTCAACCTTTTTACATTTTTAAGCACAATGTATAAAGGAGGTAACTCATGAAAACAAATTTAGATCCATTTAAATACATCGTAGAAAACAAAGATATTCTAAAGAAATGGTCAAATTTGCCTCTCATCAAGTCCTGCAAGGTTCATCTTGGGTTGAAGCAGGGAGTAGGAATTTTATAAACTATTATGTTATACATAATATATCCATACATATTATGTCATTCTGAAGCAAATGATGAACCCAGTTTAAAGTCACAACTACTAGAATTCAATGTACAATAGTACCAGGTATCCAGCTCTGAAGTAGCTGGGTTTGGGGCTTTCTATTTGTACCTCCCCACCACAAGCACATAACTTACAGTTCATATCTAAGCTTTGAATAAGAATATCAGCTACCCTAAAAGTTACCTTCAGGATGAAATACCTTTAAATGCTGCAGCGCACTGGATTTCCAGTTAACCAAACTGTATTTCCAGCAGAAACTCCTGGGGTATAGAGTAGTTCTTGTCTGTAAGCCCTTCCCGCTGGTCTTCTTAGGAAGCGTTGCTGGAGCGCTTTATTTATTTATTTTTAATCCTGTTGATAATTTGACTGTCAACTAATGCTTGCCGACTCATCACTAGCCTTTCTTAGGGTGGAGATGACTGGAAGGTTGAAGGACTGCAGGCCATACATCATTCTCCCCTTCTCAGTGTACCTTAATATGAACATGGCATCATGACTCTGAGGAAAGGAGGGGAAAGCTGAGCCATCAGATATTCCACAAATTGCAGGCTTTCCCTGTGTCCTGTAGTGCCGGAAAGGGGGATTATTGCTGCAGAAAAAGAAAATCTGGCCACTCTGTAGAAATAATCACCGCAGTGCTATCATCTCCCCTATTTTCTCTCTCTTTCTCTCTGTGTGTCTCTTCCTCTCTCTTTTTCTTGCTCTCTGTACGAGGCCCCAGCTGATTCAGGCTGCATCCAACCATACATAAATCATTCCCCTTATTCTATTGGTTACATGGTACATGGCAAGTATTGATTTTTTCCGTTGCCTCATTGCTGGAGAACACTTGGTTTTGTGAGACAGAAAAAGCAAAAACCCAACCAAACCAAAGCAAACAAAAAAATCCTCACCAGAGTTTTGTTTAGATAAGAAATAATCAGGTAGATGTGAACCATGCTGATGGTAAGTGTGTTCTAAAAAGAGCATACTTTTGGGAGGCCTTTTACTGACTATATGAATGTTCCCAGTACCTCGTGTCTCAAAATTAAGAAAAAAGAATTGTTTCTAGTTGTGGAGGCTCTGGACTTAGGAATTAGGAAGAATATGCAGAGAGGGCAATCCTCTCTAATTGTGCAGGATAAGGAGGCATCTAATTAATCACTGCTAACTCCAGGAAAAAAAAAGTTTAGTTAAAACACAACTTACTCACAAAACAGGAATAAAGAGGCAAAGATAATGCCTCATGGCCAAATGACAGCATACAAGACAGGAAGAAAGGGATATTTACCTAGGTTTATTTTGTGTGGTGATAAAATGTGCAATTGTGCCTTGTTTGTGTGAAGTATAAATGTAAAACACTGTCAAAATATTGTGTCTTGTAATACTCAGAGGTGGGAAATAGCAAAAAAGCAAATGTGTCTTAGTTTAGGATTCTGACACTTAAGTCTTCAGAACCTAAGTTAAAACACGCAAGAGTCTTAATATATTATTTGTCAAAAGAGCCATTCGTTTTAAAGTGATAGCAGCTCTTGGACTCTATCCAAAGGGGTTTTATTCTTGAAATATCAAAATGACTTATTTATGAGGTAATGCTGTCCAAAGGAGTGTCCCAATATATGAGGAAATTGTTATAACAAGGAAATCATTGTAAGAAGGTGATAGTGCTAATATAAGATGTGAAAAGATGATAAAATCCACTTTAAGTTTATGAGTCTGTGTCACAACTTATTAATCTAACAAAGGGCGAAATTCAAGAACAAAAACAATTCAGTGGGTTACACAGGTGTCAGGGTATTTTCTTTTGCATTCTACTTAGAGCTGTCAACTAATAAATTTACCATATGCAAAAACTGCAAGTGAGAAATGTAATGTCTTCTTTAACCTACGTTATGAAGTTAAAAAATTTCTTTTAACCCCAAGCCATTACTTCTTACATAAAGAGTCCACTAAGTTAAACTGTCACTAGCCTCAGAAATCAGACTATGATTTCTCTTTTTATAATCGCAAAAGCTATGCTGGAGGATTCTTGTTGTCTTTTTGGTCTGTCAGTTTACCTTGTGGCTCTTGGTCCTTAATCCACGTTTATGATAAGGTCTGCCCAACAGAGGATTCTGTGGAGTTAAGCTGCGAGGGGCTGCCCAACTAGAGCTGTGCCCAGCCCTTTGGGTATTTAGCTTCTCAATGCACAGAATACTACTCATCTCTCTTCTCCTTATCAATCCCTTTTATTGAAGCTCTTAGAGCTTCTCTTTTTATGTGCAAGTGCCGGTTTATCTAAATTGCCATTTCAAGGGAAACTGTGAATTAAGATTTGGGAAAAGGCTTTAGGAAACCTGCATGGAATTTTGTAGATATTAATATTTCATTGTTTGGTTTGTTTGTTGTAGTTTGGGCCTCCAGCCCACTGCTTATTTTCTTAATCATCTCATATCCATGAATTGGGGAGACTAAGATTGCCTGTCAACCTACCTAGATGGTAAAAGAGTTCATAAAAGACCTTGATTCTCAATCCTTTGACCCAGCAATCTTATTACTGGGTATATCCCCAAAGGATTATAAATCATTCTACTATAAGGACACATGCACATGTATGTTTATTGTGGCACTATTCACAATAGCAAAGACTTGGAACCGACCCAAATGCCCATCAATAATAGATTGCATTAAAAAATGTGGCACATATACACCATGGAATACTATGCAGCCACAAAAAAGGATGAGTCATGTCCTTTGCAGGGACATACATGAAGCTGGAAACCATCATTCTCAGCAAACTAATACAAGAACAGAAAACCAAATACTGCCATGTTCTGAGTCATAAGTAGGAGTTGAACAATGAGAACACATGGACACAGGGAGGGGAACATCAGACATTGGAGCCCATTGGAGGGTGGGGAGCTAGGGGTGATTAGAATTACCTAATGTAGATAACGGGTTGATGGATGCAGGAAACCACCATGGCACCTGTATACCTATGTAACAAACCTGCCTGTTCTGTATGTGTATCTCAGAACTTAACGTATAATAAAAACATTTTTTTTTAAAGAGAAACAATGTCTTTTAGAGATACGCTCATTGTTAACACTTTGTAAAATAAAAAAAGGATTTCGAGCACTTTAAATTTAAAAGGTAACAGACACGATAATGACCAAAACGATAGGCAATGCTTTGGACATGACCTTGTTTCGTTTCTCTGCCTCATCCTTTCCTAACTCAACAACTTGAACAAATGTTTCTTGACCATTACTTGTTGCAAGCGGTTTGCTCGACCAAGGGAAAGCTGCAGAGCTAAATGCCCATGCCCCCTCCAAATGCAGTGGGCTCACTGGGCAAACACACAGGCATACAAGCTTCTGTGCAAGAAGAGGTGCATGTCACACACATGGTACAGGTTTCTGCTGTGTAACTCTAGTGCTCTCTAGGCCTGTTTCTCTAAAAAAAATTGAATAAGAATCTTAAGCAATGAATACCAAAAGTGCTCTTCATTTTAACTTTTTATTTTCATTCACTGTAACAAGATTTTAATTGATAAGCAGAGCCTTGCCCACAGAGGACACTCAAAAGGCATTTCTTTGTTTAGTTTGATTCAGCGTGGGCTCCAAAGGAGACATAACTATAACCAAGGCCAGCAATTATTATGCACTTAGGGGGTTGCGTGTATTATTTCATGTAATTCTCATAGTAACCATGTTTTTAACCAATGTTTTTTAATGCCCATTTTAAAAATGAGGGCACTGAGGCTGAGAGAAGCCAGGTAATTTGCTGAAGGCCCCCTTGCTAATCGA